AGTTACTTTTGATATTGTGTTCCCGACAACCTTTCCTGGAAAGCTACTTTTGCACATGAATGTCGCATTCCTTTCCCCTGAAAGTTTCTCGCGGCAATCGGTTTCGCCATCCTTTCCCTTCGAGTTACCTGCGCCGACCACTGTTGCCAGGCGCGCTGCTGACCTACTTCGCCGACCTACTTCAGGAGCTACTCTAAACCTACTTCATTTGTTTTGCGCCTCAAACAAGCCCTGCATTCAAAGGGAAGTCTCGGCGCAGGAGCAGGAGCTCACCCTGCCGTCCGTGGAGCGGGACGGGCTGCCTCCCGTCACGCCGAGCGGGATCCGATCAGCTGCCAGAAGGCGTTCCAAACTGACTAGCCAGACTAGAGACGGATGCCATCCCAAACACTTGTTCCCCAATCCGTGCTTGCACTGAAGGGGTCCTCGTGGAAGAAGTTGAAAGATTTGGCGAAAGCTTCCCGCCGGTTTGGGTCGCACGCTGGGTTCCAGGGTTCCCGGGTTCCTGGTTATTGGTTCCGGGCCGATGTTGGTGGGTTCCGGGTTCCCAGGTTCCAGGTCGATCTCCTTATCGATCAAACCATCCACTGATTGGGGTTACTCTCTGGTGTAATCTTGCTCAATCAACCACGAGCTTGAACACGTATGCAGATTGTTGGCAACGATCGGGAAGCCAGGACTTGTTTCCCACAGTCATTCGCAGCATCATCGCGGCTGTGCTTGAGAAGCACAAATACGGCCAATCCGAGAGCCCATGATACAGTGGCGTTGGTATGTCACCCTCTCTCTGGAGGGTGTGGTCTGAGAGCAGGCAGGAGGACGGTTCGGAAAAGGACCAACAAGCGTACGAAATTAGCCCATGAGTCTGGTCGCGGTATGCTGGAAACTGTTGATGCGCAGGCCCTTCGGGTTCAAATGCTGGGTATCAACAACAGTGTGTCCCCACGGGTGTTATAGTGCGGGACCTTCCTTTTCTAACTCGTACGAGAATGTGAACCGTAGCAAGTGGAAGTCTAGAACTTAGGAATCGAGATTATCGAAGACCCCCGTCTGCCTCATGATGAGCCAAAACGGGGGGCTCAGGGCGGTGGCTGTTCGGACATTGTCTATCTCGAAAAGCTGAGCTGGCAAGGTTTTCCTGAGGGGTGCTCTTTAGCTACGTTTATTGTCCAGATGTACGCGGTGCCCCCCATGGACTCCTGGATCGAGAACCCATATGCGGACCCCTCGATCTTCATAGACGAATTCATGCCCAGCCGCAACTCCAGTATGATTCTCTTGGTGGCGGACCTGGCGCGTGCCGCCGACATCGTTTTAGATTTGATCGAGGAGGACCTCTATTGCTCCGAGCGTTGCACAAGGCCGCTGTGCTAGGTTCGTCGGCCAGAGTGCAGCAGAAGCGTGCCAAGTCGCTCGGCAAGTACAGTGGACCCCTGGGAGAGAAGCAAGAATCGTCTGCAACAAATCTGAGAGTCGATCTCACCATGGACAATCGTATGTCCGAAAAGGCTTGGGGTACCCTGAAGAGCAGAACCATCAAGATAACAAAAGATACTCCAGTTTAGGCGCGCAGTTGCTAATATGTGTGAAGTTGTTCCGACTGGTTTGAAAACAACAGCCTGTTACGGCAGAGAGATTGTGGGTCTCACGAAGCGAGATGCCAGGACTCTCTACATCGAGATAGCGGGGCCCCGATGCGCCACCAGGTCTCGTTGGATTGCGCTCGCAGTGCTGAGGGACCCTACCTGGAGCGCGGCCGTCGGGCCAGCAGCTCATCTGACAAATATGATCTGGAGAGTGGCGCACCAGCCAGGCACTTGCCAGTTTACTATTCCCGAGCTCAGGTCAACGGCTCAGCAAGGGGCCACGATCATGACCAACCGTGGGCTGATGATCGTGGCCCCCACTCGAACGGCCAGGACTTCTCTCTTGTCACCACCTCCCCCGCCCTTATCAAGAATGCGTTTCAGGATCAAGGGCAGCAAAAGTTGAACAGGCAGTCGGCAACCAAGCTCGGTCTGGAGGACCAGCTGGACACGTCAGAGCTGCAACGGAAGCTGAAGAACGAGGCTATGCCAGCGCACATGACGAAGAATGCACGCCAGTGCATCTGGATTTGGATAACATGGCGGCTGAAGACTATATGGGGGGACATGACCTGCCCGGTTTGCGGAGGCCCTCAGGGCTCTCCCCCACACGGATAAATCCAGTGCCCAGGGACCGAAATCCTCAGGACGGGAAAGCTGGATCCCGAGGACATGCAGACCCTGAAAACCAATAACTCGATCCCGCTCGTGCTAGGCTAGGCTTCTTGACGGCAGCTGAACCCACCGCTCTGAGGCCACCAGGCTGAGGGTCAGAAGCAGCTGTATACTATACGGGCTGTATATATTGGTCTAGAGATGACCGGCCAAAAGGCGTAGCTATGCAAGGCGAAGTGTTCCATGACGGCAGTGTTTTGAAACCTGGACATAGGTTTTACGATGCGTCAGCATGGTACGCGGTCAGAATCGACGGCGAAAGTGACCTCTTTGCCTGTCTCTCTGGCCTCGTGGGGGCTGCTTTGCCCCCGACCTCACCTGCCGCAGAACATTTAGGACTTCTAGCTGCTACGCCCTGCCCTAGAGTAATAAAGGCTTTGACGGACTTAAATGACCTCCTTTCAATCCACCACAGCCCCACTGTCTCAAGGAGCTGTACGCAAAAGTTTCGGTCCAGTTTCAAGTTTCAAGCACCTGGAGGTGGCCAAAGCCAAGGCCCACCAGGGTCTCAGTACCCTCTGGGCGGGCTACAGAGAATGGCCCGTCGCGAAGGGCAGCGACTGGGCGGACAGGATGGCAAATGCTGCGGCGGCCTTGACCCCTGCCCCGTCCCTGCTCGAGCTCGAATCTTAGATGGTCATGGTGCAAGTTCCGAGTGCCTCGAGCGGTTCCTGCGGTGCGCGGCGGAGGCCCTGTCTTGGTGGGCCCCGCTGCCCCCGCAGGCGGGGAAGAAGGCTTGTGAGAGGCCAGCCCAGGGCCTCCCCCCCTGTCGGGGCCGCGGGGGCCACCAGCACGTGGGTGGAGGCCCTGCCCCTGCAAGGGGCGGGGAGGGGAGCCAGAGCCAGAGGCGCCAGAGCTCCCCCAGCTGAGCACCGGTGGGCGTGGCTGAACGAGCGTTGAATTTGCCTGGCTTGCAACACGCGAGCCAGGAACGATAGTTCGAGAAAAGTGCGCGCCAAGGAAGCGTGACGGGTAATTATGTTGCCCTGTCCTCAATCATTCGTGCTCCCAAGCAGTACGATGTTCCTGTTTACGAATGGCTTGATGTTGAGTCCTTCATTGTGGTGTGCCGTCGGTGCGGTCAGTACACGGAGACGCACAGTCAAGAAGCTGAGAGGTTGCAGCAAGAAGCGTTTCCAGAGCAGTTGCTCGAAGGGAGCATGCACCCTTTTGTCGACAGGCCGTCCTCCGAAGAGCAGCGTGAAGGCCGCGGGCCGCCTTTCCCGCTCCACTCCCGTCGAACAGCTCCTCGACGACCGGAGCCGGAGGGGCAGCGAGCGAGGGCAGAGCGGATCGGTGACGTAAGCAGGCCATCGGAGCATCGGAGCCTAAGGTATCGGGTTGCGTCGGGTCGGCCAACCCTCTGCCTCCCACCTTAAGCTGCGATAGTCTTCCTCCTCCTCCTCCTCCTCCTCCTCCTCCACACCCTCCAATCCGGGGCTGCATAACACAAATTGTCGTGTGGACAGTGGCCCCTGTACAGGACCCAGCCAACAGAGCCAACTCGTCGCGCTCCTGCACATCCTCCTCCGCCCCCACCTCATCCTACGCCTCTTCCTCATCTACCTCCCTGGTATCCTCCTCCTCCCCCTCATCCTTCTCATCATCCTCCTTTCATTTTCCTTATGAAGAACTCCTCCCTGTCGCTCTCCGAGGCCAATCGGAAGGGCAGGCCGGGCGTTTCGCCTGAGACTTCCTCACCATTCATCTTGCAGCTTACGAACTGGCAACACTTTGACGGATGGAGAGCGGGTAGTTTTCAAAACGTGGCTATTGCCATAGCGCCGCGCGAACTCGTCTTAGACATTTGAACGATGTTTACGGATTGAGGGAGGGTCGTTTTCAAAATGTTTATCTCGCATTCGCGCCGCGCGCTCTCGTCTTAAAATGCAAGAGATTCACGGATTGAGTGCTTGCCGTTTTCAAAAAGCGGCTCTCGCCTTAGCGCCGCGCACACTCGTCTTAAACGTTTGCAAGAGCTTCACGAATTGATGACGGCTCCTTTTCAAAATGTCTCTCTCGCCATTGCGTCGCGAGCATTCGTTTCAAGAAATCGCAAGTGTTTCACGGATTCCTATTGCCAACGTACCATAAAAGTCAACGAAAAGCAAAAACAACGTGTTGGAATGATTCGGGATTGTCAGGACGCAACAATTACATGGATTCGCGGTGTTGAACTCCCAGGAATGGTCTTCTGACACCATTCTGGATCGTCAGGACGCAGCAGACAAGTTAATTCGTGGCTTTGAAACTCTGAGCATGGTGTTCTGGTACGCTGCAGGACCTCCAATGGTTGTCTACCAACGGGGCACTTCCATGAGTTGAAACGGACCTTTGCAAGGGTCTATGAAGAGGGAGTTTGGAGGGAGGGCTTATTCCAGCATCGTTGAATAGTCTTGGGTTTACACTTGTCATCCTTCTCATCCTCCTCCACCTCGCGCGGCGAGGAGGACCAGGAGGAGGAGAAGGAGGTGGAGCGTCGAGCATCATAATCGAGGAGAGGGAGGGGGAGGAAGCTGGAGAAGGACGGCGACGGACCCGACGAGGATGCTGATTTGGACGCCCGAAATGTATACAAAAAAGGGGTACGATGCCCAACAACAAATGTTGTCCAAGACCGACAGCGGCCGCAGTTGGGCAGGCGGCCCTTCCTCCTCAAATGGAGGACGTCCGCAGCGACACCGACAGCAGGCCCTGTTCAAAATGGGTAAGACATGCTTTCGGGCCTTGTGCCCATTCTTTCCGTACCCATTTTGATCGTCCCGAAGAACGCTGCGGGAGGCCGCCGGAACGCCCGCGGGGGTCCCGCGGCGCGCGCGGGGCGGGGTCTGGCGCGCCGCGCGGGTCGCCAGGCCCCTCATCAGCCCAGGAGGAGCGCGGCGGCGAGGGCGAGCACGCCGAGGCCCGCGGAGAGCACGGAGGGGAGGCCACCTCGGCGCCAAGCTTCCGCCGGCGCCTCGCTCTGCAACGCGGCTTGGTTGGGACGCACAAGGACACACTAGCACTATGTGTCCTCCTCAGAGGCGTGCGTCCGACCCGAACATCTAATATAACCATCTTGTAGAATATCGATTCCCGAGCGGTGTGGCCAGAAAGCGCCCGCCACGAAGCTAATACTACATGATTTCTTGGCGCGCGCGTCGCCCCTGGGGGGGCGGCGCACACATAGCATCAATACCTTGGGGTGACGCTTGGTCCCCTACGGTCAGGAACTTTTGCTTGGCGTGTCGAGGCGGCGGCCCTGGCGAACCGCTGTGCCTTGCGAGCGGCTAGCGTGCCGCTCCGCTACGCGAGCCGGGGTGCTGGGAAAAGCTCGGGACATTGACGCTGGGGGACCAGGAGGTAGACAGCGTGTCGCTCCGAAGCGTGGTGGGCCAGAACCGGCGGAGAGGCACGCTGAGCCAAAGTTCCTCGCGCTCCCGCGTCGCCCTCTGAGAGAAGGGCAGCTCTAGACAAGACCGCGACGCGCGAAGCGCGACTATCTTCGCGCCCCTGGGGATGCCCTGCAGCCTGCAAATTCTGCTTTCGCGTGCTGTGCGGCCGGTGCGATGCGGGCGCGTCCACTGGCAACAGTCGGCGCCCTCGAGCCTTCGCCAAGGTAGGCAGCCATATGTGAACCCCACCTCTGCAGGTCAGATTTCTGACAAAACGGCGGGTGGTCACAATGTGAAGTCCAGCCAAGTGAATCCCCCGCTGGGGTGTCTGATAAGCCAGCGTCGATAGGACCCATAGGGGTAGAGTTCGCAAGTGGTCGCAGAAAGGGGATTCAGGAGAAACAGCTCCTGCGTAGACACCAAGAATTTGGGAAGAGGGAAAGGACACCATGGAGGTAGTTACTGCGACATGAAGCGAGATTACCCCAGCAAAGAACCAGAATAGCAGCAAATGTGACCTGCGAGACCTGTGGAACAGATGAGGACTCTAGGACTTGAGCTATGTGTGGGACCTGTGGGATTTGTGGGACCTCGGGGACCTCCGAGGCCTGTGAGACCTGTGCGACGTGTGGGATCTGTGGAACCTCGGGGGCCTGTGGGACCTATGGGGCAGGTGGGGACTGTGGACTTGCGTGACCTATGGGATATCGGGGACCTCTGTGGCCTGTGGGGCCTGTGGGACATGTGGCACCTACTGTGGACTTGTGAGACCTGTGGGACCTCGGGGACCTCTGGCATGTGGGACGTGTGGGACCTGTGGGACTTACGGGGCAGGTGTGAACTGCGGACCTGTGCGACCTGTCCGACCTGCGGGACGTCTGGAACATGTGGGACCTGTGGAACCTGTGTAACCTATGGGGCAAGTGGGAACTGTGGACTTGAGCAACCTGTAGGACCTGCGGGACCTGTGGCACATGTGGGACCTGTGGGACCTGCGGAACGGACCTATGAGGCAGGTGGGAACTGTGGACTTGTGCGACCTGTGGGGACCTCTGTGGCCTATGGGACGAGTGGGCCCTATGGTACATATGGGGCAGGTGGGGACTGTCGATGAGTGCGACCTGTGGGACCTGCGCGACCTATGGAACCTGCGAGACCTATGGGGCAGGTGGGAACGATGGAGCATGTGGGAACTGTGGACTTGTGCGACCTGTGAGACCTGTGCGACCTGCGAGACCTGTGGGACCTGTGGGACTTATGGGGCAGGTGGGAAAGATCGGGCAGGTGGGAACTATGGACTTGTGCGACCTGTGGGACCTGTGGGACCAGTAGGACCTGTGGGATGTATGGGGCAGGTGGGAACTGTGGACTTGCAAGACCTGTGCGGACCTGCGGAACCTGTGGGACCTGTGGGACCTGTTGGGCAAGCGGGAAACTGTTGACTTGAGCGACCTGTGGGACCTGCGGGGCCTGTGGGACCTTTGGGACCTGTGGAACGTACATGGGCGTGATTAAAGGGTCGCCGAATGTTGCCACTGCGGCGCCCTTGGGCACTACGCAAGGGGATGCCGAAAGATGCAGACTAACACGATATCACCTTGTGTGAACGCCACGTTGTGGCCTGAACAAGAGCACCAGCATACTATCACAACTTACTTTCACACAGCAAAGCCTGACCACCATCGTGACTGTCAGCACCCAAGAGCCCGCGGGCACCACAGCGCGTGTGAGCAGCAAGACGTATGAACCTGCTTGACGAAGAAATCCCGCACGAAACAATCACTCTTTGAATGCTCGAGTCGACTCTGAACCTGGCTCGAACCAGTTTGTCGATGAAGTCCCGCGCGAAACGCCAGCGTTATTATGTTATGTCGAACCAAATTCAAACCTGGTTCGGGCTTGTGTTCCGAAGAAATCGTGCACGAAACGCTTACTGTTCTATTGATTCGAACCCACTTCGAACCTAGTTCGAATTTGTTGTTCGAGAAGTCCCGCATGAAACACCCAGATTTCTATTGTGTCGAACCGGCTTCTATTGCTTCGAACTTTGGAGGCGTCCGCAACATGCGGTACGCGGATGACATGTTACTTTATGCTACATCCGCCGCAGAGGTGACCCGCATGCTGGACATTCTTTCGAAAGAATTGTCAAAGCGCGGCCTGTCACCAAATGCGGACAAAACGCAGATTGCTACAAACGGCATTGCCGATTCCAATGTCGACGAGCCTCTCGTTTTACAGCTTGCCGGCTGCCAGTTGCCTGTCATGACGTCCCAGGTGTTCCACAAGTCGCTCGGCAAGAAACTCTGAGGCGATTTACGGTGCAGATCAGAGTGTCACGTCAACTATCGCCTGGAGTGTGCATGGGGGAATTTGCACTCCCACGAAGGAGTACGTTTGAATGAAGCTATAGCTGTGCGCCTTCGTTTGACGCTTTTCGATACTGTGGTTACGCCCACTGCTGTCTACTCTGTCTCTCGACGACCACCACGACAGCACAGCATCGGTCAAAGATCGCATCAACTCGTTCAAAAATGCTCCGTCGGATAGTCGGCTTCAGCAAGCTTCCCGGCGAGAGCTGTGAAGAAGCGGGGCGACGACGCAAGCAAAAAGTGCGCGCTGCTCTGCAAATTGTCCCTGTGTCAGACTGGCTTGTCGTGATGGACCGTTCAACGTGGCGCCTCGTGGCAAGACTTGCCACCAGGTCAGGTAAGCCTTGCACCAGTCGGTGCGAGCAGAGAGAAGAGCGTGCAGACAGCATGCCTTTAGCAGTGTGGCCAGATCTTTACTACGCGCTCCCACTCGCGAGCTGCACCGCCGTCTTGGCGGAAGTAGTCAGCGAGTCGCACATGGGAGCCAGCAACTGCCAGCGCATTCTTCCACACAAGGTGCCCCCAAGTTTGGCGAGGCCTACCTCGCCTCCTCGCTCCAGCAGGCTTGCGCAGCTCTACAGCTCCCTGTTCAAACTAACGAGTCGCAAACATGGTCCGCGCAAGTTTTACGATGGCACCCAGCTGGCCCCCGACGTCGCGGTCGGCCACGGACGCGCTTCTGCAACACGAGCGCGGCACGAGTCTAATGGATGTTGTCCGCAGCTAACAGCGTTTCCCTTGGCAGCGATTGGAGAATTAATGTCTCAATCGTGTGTGGTGACACGCTTGGTGCATGCTAGATTGAGAATATATTGTAGTATCAACCATTTCTCGTGCATGCGCGTGTCACTGTCGTAGTGCCTCACGCCCTCCGCTTGCGCAGCGAGTGGTCAATAGGCTCCTCGACCAGTCTTGACATGACCTGGGACATGCGGGACCTGTGGGACCTGTGAAACGTGTGGGACCTGTGGGACCTGCGGGACCTATGGAACAAGAGGGAACTGTGGAGGTGTGCGGCTTGTGGGGCCTGTGGGACCAGCGGGGCCTGTGGGGCCTGTGGGACCTATGGGGCGGGTGGGAAGTGTGGACTTGTGCCATCCGTAAGACCTGCGGGACCAGGGGGGCTTGTGGGGCCTGTACTTAGAACATGCGTGACCTGTGCGACCTGCGGGACCTGTGGGACCTGTGGGACCTAGGGGCCAGGTGGGAACTGTGGACGTGTGCGACCCCTGGGACCTGCGGAACCGGTGGTGCTTGTGGGACCTTTGAGACGGGTGGGAAGTTGTGGATTTGTGCGACCTGTGGGACCTGCGGCACATGTGGGCCCGTTGGGCAGGTGGGACCTGTGGACATTTGGGACATGGTCGGAACCGTGGCCTTGTGCGACCTGTGGGACTGGCGGGACCTGTGGTGCCTGTGGGCAAAGTGGGAATTGCGGACGGTCGCAACGTGCAGGACCTGCGGGACCTGCGGGACCTGTGGGGCATGTGGGAACTGTGGACTTGTGCAAGCTGTGGGACCTGCGAGACATGTGGAGCAGGTGGGACCTGCGGGACCTGTGGGACGTGCTCGGAACCGTGGCCTTGTGTGGCCTGTGGGACCTGCGGGACCTGTGTGGCCTGTGGGGCCTGTGGTGGGGCAGGTGGGAACTGTGGACTTGTGCTACATGTGGGACATGTGGGACCCGTGAGACATGTTGGACCTATGTGACGGGTGAAGACTGTGGGCTTGTGCGACCTATGGGACCTGCGTGACCTGTGGGACCCATGGGGCGGGTGGACTTGTCTGTGGGCTTGTCCAACCTGTGGGACATGCGGGACATGTGGGACCTGTGGGACGTGGTCGGAACCGTGGCCTTGTGCGACCTGTGAGACTTGCGGGGCCTGCTGGACTTGTGGGACCGACGAGGCAGGTGGGAACCGTGGAAGTGTGCGACCCGTGCGACCTGTAGCACCTGCGGGGCCTGTGGGACCCATAGGGTAGGTGGGGACTGTGGACCTGTGCGACCTGTGGGAGACATAAGGGACGGGTGGGGCAGGTGGGAACTGTGGACCCTGACGGGCATGCAAGAGTGGGGCAGATGGGAACTGTGGACCTGTGGGACATGGTCGGAACTGTGGCCTTGTGCGACCTGTGGACCTGCGTGGCCTGTGGGACCTGTGGGAACTCTGGACTTGTGCGACCTGTAGGGCCTGCCGGACCTGTGGGACCGATGGGGCCGGAGGGAGCTGGAAATGTGCTACCTCTGGGACCTGCGGGACCTGTGGGGACAGCGGGACCCGTGAGGCGGGTGGGGAGCTGTGGACGTGTGGGACCTGTGGGACCTGCGGAACCTGTGGGGTAGGTGGGAACTGTGGACCTGTGGGACATGGTCGGAACAGTGGCCTTGTGCGACCTGTGGACCTGCGGGGCCTGTGGGACCTGTGGAACGTGGTCGGAAATGCGGCCTTGCGCGACCTGTAGGTCCTGCCGGACCTGTGGGACCTGTGGAACCGATGGATCAGGTGGACCCTGTGAACATGTGCGATCTGTGGGACCTGCGGGACCTATTGAGGGTGGGGAGCTGTGGGTGTGTGCGACCTGTAGGGACCTGCGTGACATATTGGAACCTGTGGGGCAGGTGGGAACTATGGACCTGTGGGGCGTGGTCGGAACTGTGGCCTCGTGCGACCTGTGGGACCTGCGGGACCTGTGGGACCTGTGGGCCGGGTGGGAACTGTGCACTTGCGCGACATGTAGGACCTGGGGGACCTGTGGGACCTGTGGGCCTTCTGGGGCAGGTGGGAACTGTGGACGTGTGCGACATGTGGGACCTGCGGGACCTGTGGGGCCTGTGGGACCCATGGGGCGGGTGGGGAGCTGTGGCCTTGTGCGACCTACGTGACCTCTGGGACCTGTGGGGCAGGTGGGAACTATGGACCTGTGGGGCGTGGTCGGAACTGTGGCCTTGTGCGACCGATGGGAGCTGAGGGACGTGCCTGACGGGCGGGTCGGGTCGGGCGCGCACCCGAAGGTTCGGGCGGGCGGGGTATGAAAGCGCACTCCTTTTATCAATCTCGTGGAGACATCGAACGAGAGCGCGATTCCTGTGCAATTTGGATGAGTCCTGGGCGAGAGCACGAGTCCTGAGCAGAGAGCACGCGATTTCTGAAGAAATTATGAGGATGTCCATGGCGAGAGCGCGACGGTTTCTCGAACTGCAGGGATGCCTCGAGCGCGTGCGAGGCTCCTGACGAGATTGCAAGTACAAGGCGAGAGCCGTCGTGTTCAGGGGCCCAGTTTGAGCACCAGGACCTCCCCTCGCACAGAACGGTGTGCGAGAGCGGGACACTTCAGGTGAAAAACACAGAGTGGGCATCGGCGCTGGGCGGAGCAACCATAACCTTACCTCAGAAAGGAGAGCTTGACAACAAAATCCGCTTCCTCGTCCTCCTCGTCCTCGCAACGAGGACAGGGACGACGAGGACGAAGAACACCGGTTACACCGGCGACGCTGACGACGACCACCACCACTACCACCACGAGCACGACCACGACCGCGACGACCACGACCACGGCCCAAGACGTCGACCAGGACAACGACCACGACGTCGACCACGACGACGCGTCGCCAGCGATAGTGATGGCGAAGGGGGCGGCCGAGGTGGTCGCGGCTGGCCCCGGACTTCCACGTGCAGTCGAGCCGCTTCAGCATCGGGGTGGCCTCCGTTGCGGCGTCGTCGCCGTTGTCCTCGTCGTCCTCCTGCATCCTGCCTCTCCTGCCTCCTCCTGGCTCCTGCCCTACTGCCCTGCTGCATCCTGCCACCACCTCCTGCCTCCTACCTCTCCTAACTCCTCCTGCTGCCTCTCCTGCCTACTCCTGCTGTTTTGACGTCGATCGGACTTCAAGCACGGGGCTCGCAGCGTTCTGAAATGTAAAGGAAAGAGGCCGACGTAGGCCTAAGCCGAACAAATTAGGCCTGGCTGGCGCATCGGAAAAAGACAGGCGCGAGGACTAAGTCAGGGACCGAATGCCCGCAAGGGCAAAGAGTATGCACCAGCCAGACGGTGAAGTAGAGAAGGAGGACGAAGCGAAATATAGTACCTCTGAACCTTGGTAAGTCGAACGACGTGGAGCCGAAGGAGGGAGGAACGAAATACGCGTGCAGCAATGGAACTGAAAGTACAGAGACTCAACATGTACGCTGCAGCCTGTGGTTACCAAGGTACCCGATCCCATAGTCCACAATGATGAGCGATGCCCCCATTTGTTTTATCAGGTCAGGCGAGCAGTGTTAAAGTAAGAGATAACTAGCGTGGCAGCAATCTGCAAGTTAAAACGACAGGCGACACTAGGGCTCGGGCAGACTCCTCCGACTCCCCCACCCCACCCAGCTCTAAGACCCACCTCCCAATCCCAGAAGTCAGCAACCTCACACTCCCCCGTGTTTTTTTTTCTCCCGTGCAACGGATCACGACGCTTAGCGCGCTTTCTGTCATCCGCCGCCCTCTGTGGTCGGGGTGCGCGGCGTGCTAAAGTTCAGGTGCTTGTGGGTTATGTTTAAGACTCCCCCTGGGGCTTCGGCACAGCGCGCTGGCCACCTGGAAAGCTCCCAAATGTCGGTCTCCATTGGCCCCATCGGATCCAAGACGGCCAAGATGGCCTCCAAGATGCCTCCAAGACGGCGAAGATGGCCCCAAGAGTGCTCAAGATAGCCCCAAGATGCCTCCCAAGACGGTCCCACGATGCACCCACGACGGCCAAGATGGTCCAAGACGGCCCACGACTGAACCAAAGCGCCCAAGAGGCCCCTTATGACGGCCCCAGAGGCCTTCAAGAGGTCCTCCAGGAAAGCCCAAAGAGGCCAAAATCAGTGATGTCCTCTAAGTGTTTGAATGACTTGGGCAGTTGCTTCAAAACGGCCGTCCGACGGCCCAAGACGGTCCAAGAGGCCCCAAAGATTGCCCCAAAGTCGCTCAAGAGGCCTCCAAGACGGCCCCAGGACGGCCCAAGAGGCTCCCAAGACAGCCCCAAAAGGGCCCCAAGACGGCCCAAGAGGCCTCCAAGACGCACAAGATGGCCTTCAAGACGACCCTAACGCACCCTCAGAGGGCCCCCAGACAGAGGCTCCCAAGACGGCTCCCAACGGCGTGAGACGGGCAAGGAAGCAGTGAGACGGCACTAAAAGGGCCCCAAGAAACCCCCAAAGGCCCCCTAAGAGGCCCAAGGAGGCGCCGAAGAGGCCTCCAAGAGGCCCCCAGGTGGCTCCCAGAAGGTCCCGAGAATGACCAAATAAGCTCCCGTGAGGTCTCCACATCCTTCTCCTCCTCCTCCTTCGTCCTCCCTCTCCTTCTCCTCCTCTTCCTCCCCCACGTGTTCCCCGAAGGACTTCCACAACGGCTGGGGGAACGCATGGTCCGATAGCGTGGCCAAGCATTGCCCAAACGTTTGGCGATATAGGTGAATCCCAAAAGGCAGGGGGCGGCGGTGATTCGCCGTAGGCGTCTTCGATCCTCCACCCCCTGTGGTCTTACCCCAGGGGTGCCTGGCTTGCCAAATTTCTGGTGCTTGTTGGCTCTTTGTAAGATTTCCCCTGGGGCGTCGGCCGATACGGCCGGCCACCCAGAAATCTCCCAAGTTTCGGCCTCCATTGGCCCCATCGAATCCAAGACTGCCAAGATGGCCCAAGATGGCCTCCAAGATGCCTCTAAGACGCCTCCAAGACGGCCAAGATGACTCCAAGAGAGCCCAAGATGGCCCGAAGATGCACCCAACACGGCCCACGATGCACCCAAGACGGCCCAAGATAGCCTAAGATGGCGGCCCAAGAGGCCTCCAAGACGGCCCAAGAGGCCTCCAAGAGGCTCTCCAGGAAGGCACGAAGAGGCTAAAATCATGGATGCCTGACGATGTTTGAAGTATTGGGATATTTGCTGGAAATGACCTTCCGACGGCCCGAGACGGCCCAAGAGGCACCAAATATTGCCCCAAGATCGCTCAAGAGGCATCGAAGATGGCCTCGGGACGGCCCAAGAGGCTCCCAAGACGGCCCCAAAACAGCACCAAGACGGCCCACGAGGCCTCCAAGACGCCCAAGATGGCCTTCAAGACGACCCTAACGCGGGACCCAGATGGACAAGAGAGGCTCCCAAGACAGCTCCCGACGGCGTGAGACGGGCAAGGAAGCAGTGAGACGGCACTAAAAGGGCCCCAAGAAGCCCCCAAAGGCCCCCTAAGAGGCCCAAGGAGGCCCCGAAGAGGCCTCCAGGAGGCCCCCAGGTGGCTCCCAAAAGGTCCCGAGAATGACCAAACAAGCTCCAATGAGGTCTCCACATCCTTCTCCTCCTCCTTTGTCCTCCCCCTCCTTATCCTCCTCTTCCTCCCCCACGTGTTCCCCGAAGGACTTCCACAACGGCTGGGGGAACGCATGGTCCGATAGCGTGGCCAAGCATTGCCCAAACGTTTGGCGATATAGGTGAATCCCAAAAGGCAGGGGGCGGCGGTGATTCGCCGTAGGCGTCTTCGATCCTCCACCCCCTGTGGTCTTGCCCCAGGGGTGCCCGGCGTGCCAAATTTCTGGTGCTTGTTGGCTCTTTGTAAGATTTCCCCTGGGGCGTCGGCCGATACGGCCGGCCACCCAGAAAGCTCCCAAATTTCGGCCTCCATGGGCCCCATCGGATCCAAGACTGCCAAGATGGCCCAAGATGGCCTCCAAGATGCCTCTAAGACGCCTCCAAGACGGCCAAGATGGCTCCAAGAGAACCCAAGATGGCCCGAATGCACCCAAGACGGCCCACGATGCACCCCAGACGGCCCATGATGGCCTAAGATGGCGGCCCAAGAGGCCTCCAAGACGGCCCAAGAGGCCTTTAAGAGGCTCTCCAGGAAGGCACGAAGAGGCTAAAATCATGGATGCCTGAAGATGTCTGAAGGATTGGAATACTTGCTGGAAATCGGCCTTCCGACGGCCCGAGACGGCCCAAGAGGCACCAAATATTGTCCCAAGATCGCTCAAGAGGCATCCAAGATGGCCTCGGGACGGCCCAAGAGGCTCCCAAGACGGCCCCAAAACGGCACCAAGACGGCCCACGAGGCCTCCAAGACGCCCAAGATGGCCTTCAAGACGACCCTAACGCGGGACCCAGATGGACAAGAGAGGCTCCCAAGACAGCTCCCGACGGCGTGAGACGGGCAAGGAAGCAGTGAGACGGCACTAAAAGTACCCCGAGAGGCCCCCAAAGGCCCCCTAAGAAGCCCAAGGAGGCCCCGAAGAGGCCTCCAAGAGGCCCCCAGGTGGCTCCCAGAAGGTCCCGAGAATGACCAAACAAGCTCCAATGAGGTCTCCACATCCTTCTCCTCCTCCTTTGTCCTCCCTCTCCTTCTCCTCCTCGTCCTCCCCCACGTGTTCCCCGAAGGACTTCCACAACGGCTGGGGGAACTGACTGGATGGTTTTGAACCAACACGACTATGGAGCGAACCCGCCCCTCACAGTTCCTCACAGTTCCTTACCAAGGGTTATGAAGAATGCACTGCTACACTCCTCCTCGGCCAGGCGCCCTCGCGCCGCCGCCGAACAGCAGGCATTAAGAAGCAAGCAGGCGCCCTCGCGCCTTCACATCTTTCCTCGGCCGAACCTCCGGCCCAAGTCGTGACTAAACCGCTGCCCTCAGGGACAGCTCACTTCTACCCTCCTGGATCACAAACCCGCACCTGTCCATGAAGAAATCGATCTTGTCGCCGCTCAGGTGCTTCGTCATCAGGTCGGCGGTATTGAGCTCGCCTGAAACTTTCTTCAACTTCGCAAGCTTCTCGTGGTAGATCGCTCGGACCCACAGGTACTGTGTGTGTAACTGCCGCACCTCCCCGGCACCAAGCCTGAGCGCCATGCCACGCCCGGCTGTCGCATCCGTCTCGATGACTAGGCCCTTCGTCATGCCGTAGTCCTTGCACATACTTTGAGCGCCAAGTCCAACGCTCGTCTCTCGAACAATCGCGTAGAACTCCGACTCACCGCTCGACAAGGCAATCACCGATTGTGCGTTGGCGGTCGCCTTGAGCAGATGAGCTCCATGATAAAGTGCAACTCCAGTAGTGCTCCTCCTTGTCAGCACGCAGCCCGCATGGTCTGAGTCACAGGCTACCGTGATCACGTCCGGCTCGTCATGCTGGATGAACCGCTGCACCATCCTCGGCCGGCGTAGCAAGTAGCGTCCGATCCGCTTCACCATCTCCATGGCCACCTCGGCCGGCTTGCTCATCCACCTGGCCGCTTCCTTCGCCGCATAGAGCAGGTCGATCCTGTCCATCGCGAGGTAGTTGATGCGCATGCAGACACTCCTGTACAGCGCCGCTTCTGCAGCACCAAGTAGAGGAGACTCGAGCAGCTCCTCCGCCGTCCTCTTGATGCCCGGCGATGTCACCGACTTGCTGCCCTTGTCGAGTCCGAGCTTCAGCTGGGTCGTGACGATCTCGACATGGCGGGCGTCAGCTTCCCACTCCAAACACGGAACGCCGGCCTCGGCCTTATTCAGCCTGACGATCCTGTTGAGCAGCGTGATCTCCCGCAGGTCGCCGTCATCCCAACCAAGAACTCCTCGAACCTTCACCAGCAATCGTTTGGACAGCTCGGTCTTGAACCACTCCAGAGCGTCGTCATCGCCCTCGCTCACGAACTCGTCCCCGTGGTAGAACAACAATACGTTCTTCTCGTCGTGCCTGCACA